ACGGTACCCGTTATCATGTTCACAGACACACACATACACACACATACACACACACACTCATACGGACAAGATTGCAAAATTATGTTTTTCCGACCAGTGCTGGCGCCAGGTTATTTAGCGCCCTGGGAAAAATTTGTAAAAACGGACCCCCCCCCCCCTCCCTGCAATTTTTTTCGGGCTCCCTTGTTATATATATATATATATATATATATATATATATATATATATATATATATATATATATATATATATATAACATATATATATATATATATATATGTTATATATATGTTATATATATATATATATATATATATATATATATATATACATTTTTCCTGGGGCGCTAAATAACCTGGCGCCGGCACTGGTCGGAAAAACATAATTTTGCAATTTTGCAAAGACTGTCTCACTAAATTCTAAATTAAATCAATTCATTGAATAATTAAGTTTAAAATTTCTTATTTACAAAAAAGAAAAATATGAATAGTTTGGCAAGACTATGAATCAAGGAAACTTGATGCCGGCGCAATGCCGGAGGCAGGTTATTTAGCGCCCTAGTCAAAACAAATTGAAACGCCTTCGTATATGAGAAAGTTGAAATGTGAATGCAAAATCTGCGACGTTCGAGAGGGAATTATGGTTGGAATAATATAATTAGCATGGATTGGTAAAATGCAATATGCTAGGTAAAACAAGGATATTTTAAATACTGCTTTTATTTATTTTATACAATGGCGGTAATGTTTAATAATTATTATTTTTAATCAATAACAGTTTAGAAGCCACTCTTAAATATTCCCTATGTTTACTTTTATCTTTCGGTTTGCGGACAAGCTGGGATTTTCATAGTCGTTCCCCAAATTGAATCAGGCGCGTCTGCCAGCGCCCGGGCAGGGTTCGATTTTGTGCTATGGGTTATCTCGTGAGTGCTTTGTGCTTGTGTTTGCGTTTGCTTTGCGTCGTGTTTGTGTTTGTGGGTTTTTTTTGCGTTTGTGTTTGCATTGTGTTTCAGTTTGTGTTTTCTTTTGTGTTGTAATATGCTTGTGTTTGCGCTGTGTTTTTTTTAAATTTCGGGTTGGTTTGTTATGTTTGTGCTTGCGTTGTTTTTGGGTCTGTGTTTCCTTTTGTTTTTATGTTTGCGTTGTGTTTATATGTGTGTGTGTATGTATGTGTGTGTGTAAAAGAGAGAGAGAGAGAGAGAGAGAGAGAGAGAGAGAGAGAGAGAGAGAGAGAGAGAAATAAGCCTGATCTGTGTTTAGAGGTTAGTTTTTAGCAGGCGCGGATTTACTTAGGTCATGCTTTATGTTTTATTTTTTAATGATTTACTTGTTTAAAAAAATAATTATAAAATAGATTCTGGTCAAAACGCAATGTGCTTTACTACTCGATCAACGATATTAGTGACAAAGCATAGAAATAACTAAATAGCTAAACATCCGGCACATTTTAAAAACCGTAGGCTACTAATACCTATTAGAAAAATTAAACAAAATTATATTATACTTTCTTTGTCAACACAACACCAGCTTTCTCTAAGACCATTTTAATGATAGTGGCGCGTTTTTGGAAAATAGTTAAATAATATATATAGAAAGTTCCGCAACACAAAAATACGGGTACAACTCAGTTTTAAGATTATTAAATGGAACTATACATAGAGCACAAGGGAAGGTGTGGGTTCTATTGTGGAAAACTCAAACCGTGGTATGTAATGCGAACAGGGGAGCGAGTGGGTGTTTTTTATCGTTATGCTTGAATGAATCATCGGATTTCATAATTTAAAAACAACTGTCTGTTTCCCCCCCCCCCCCCTGTCCACAACTCCTCTATCATCCTATAGACCGATTTATGGACTTATCGAGGTTTGGGGGGGGGGGGGGGATTGGATGGGTAAGGGAGAAGTGGGGGCGGAGGGGAATGTTTTAGCTTTCTGCTTGCATCCATTGCGTATTGATAAAAAGGGTGAAAGAGGCCCTCGACCCCCTTCGCTCCTCTTCCCTATGCAGTCCACAACTCCCCCCACATCTATGGACTTGGCCCTTTATTGCATGAATTATTGGTTTACTTGGTAAAAAATTTTTGACTTCATATTTCTACAGCAAATGGACTAACTTGAGATGTAGGGAATTTTTTTTTTTTTTTTTGAATAGATGATAAATATCACAACAATTTTGGTCGTTGCAATTCTGCAACTATGCGCAACGGTCAAACTTTTCATCCATAATAAGCAAAAAAAATATTTATATAGAATTGTTGATAGAAATGTAAATAACTTGTACAAATCATTTGAGAGTAACAATAGTAACATGTAAGCTTATTTATTATGAAAACAAAAGTAAAAACATGTACACTGAAAGAGGAAAAAACAACTGAAAAATTACATGAAGGTTTATTTAGTAAAAAATTTATTAGCATTTTTTTTGTTTGCTATACAACAAATAAAAACTTCTGTGCATTCTTGGTGCAGGACAACCTGCAACTAAATGATGAACTAAATGATATTGTCTATTGTAAATCTTGAGCCCAACATATTGGGGAACACTCTGTAATAATGTCTGCTCAATATTAGCAACAGCACTTTGTCATCTTGTCCCTTTGTAGCTTTACCTGTATGCACTTCAAAATCTTGGATTATACAAGTTGTTGGACACAACAAAGACTTTGTAGCCCATCTATATGGCTTTCTATGGTTGTAGGTTGGACTGCTTTTGCCTACGATATGTGAATGGGTCGATTTGCTCATGAATACTTAGAATCTCAGATGGCATGGGGTTTGATAAGCACAGAATTCCGACATTGGTCAACTTCTGCCCTTTGAACATTGTTTGACAGGTGTAGCTTATTCTTAATCCACTCGAATCTATTGATGGTTATGTCTGTGACAGTAACACATTAGGTGACAAGGCACCAAGATCTTTGGTATCTAGAATTTTTTTTTACAATGTTTATGTAAAACACAATTTCCAGGAGATGTTTTTGTTTATCTTTATCCAGTACTAGTGGATTGTTTATGTCCTGCTGAGGACATAGTTTCACAGGTGTATATTATTCTTTATCCGCTTGAATCTGTTGATGGTCATGATGTATTGACCGTAACACATTTGGTCGCAAGTCTCCAATACAGTCGGCATCTAAGAGTTTTTAGAATCTTTATGTAATACACACAATTCCTAGGAAATGTTTTAGCTCAATCTTATCCAGTGCTAATGGATTGTTTGTCCTGTGGAGGACATTGTTTGACAGGTGCAGATTATTCTTATTCCGCTTGAATCTGTTGATGGTCATGACGTATGTGACCGTAACAAACTTGGTGGCAAGGCTCCAATACACTCAGCATTTAGGAATTTTTTACAATGTTTATGTAAAATCTAATTTCCAGGAATAATCTTTATCCAGTGCTAAAGGACTGTTGATGTCATGTTAGAGGACAGTACAGGTTGGATTGATACACAACTGTCCGAACACAGATTATCTATAAAGATGTCGTTGAAATAATCCAATGGCCGCCTCTGATGTTTGACTTCTCTCCTAGGATCAGGAAATGGTGGAACATTTGCTGTATACTGGGACTGATCATTCTGTTGTTGCTAATGAAGACCTTGGTGTAGACAATTGAGAAGGTCCTGAGGAGTTTCATCATTTTTCGCAAATGGGCATACTCTGTAGAAATAAATTTTGAGAACATTATTTGGTTATAAATTATGCAATAATTGTATACAAAACAATAAATGCTTTACTAATCTACAATCAAACCTTTAAAGTATGCAATAATAATATGTTACCTTCAACTACGTCAGACAAATCTTCATCACCAACATCCGATAGGACCCAGGTACTGTTTACGTTCTCTATTTCATCATTGGACAACTCACTATCTTTTGAGCCAAAAGGAGTAGCTCAGAATAAACTGGTAGAAGACTTTCAAATTAGACTCTTGGATCCATGGTTATGAATATGTGAAAGCCTAAAATAAAAACAAAAGGTTATTCATTAGTCTAGCTCTAGTCTTAACGATAAATATATAAATAAAACTAATAAAACTATTGTTAGGCTATAATTTATTATGATTATTAGGCCTATAGGCAAAAACTAGATCTAGAAGCTTTAAATAATATGCCACAACACTAACTGTATTTCACATCATAAAATAAACTATTTTGTGTATAGAAATAATTACCAAGTAAACTAAAGTCTAGCTGAGAGCAGAGCCATTTTTTTTATTTATTCCGTTGCATGTAGTTGCATTACTACAACTACAACAATACAAAACCTAGGCTCTTACTAATGAAATATTAATTTTTTTATTGTGAATCAACTAAATTAGTACTAATGCATAGTTATTATTGTAAATATATTTTTTTCAGCTAGTTTATTATAGTTTTAACCAGGTTTTAACGTAATTTTATACTTACCATTTAGCAAAAAGCAGAAAAGTGTAGATCGCTTCTAAAAATGTCCGATTTGAAAAAGAAAAATCTTCTTTTCAAAAGAGTTCCGGTATAAAATGTAATAAAAAGTGCTATCCGGAGTAAAATAGGTTGAAAACGAAACAAAATATTAAATAATACAGTACTTGATTACTCCTAAAGTATTGTTGCAAAACTGCAACGCTATGCCATATAGGGTTAATATGAATTTCTTACTGAAGTAGAAGCAAAATGCTTAATGTTTAACTTATACAAATATGTCGAAGCCAGGAAATATATTTGCTGAACACAATTTATGTTTTTAAAAGCATGGTTAAGGTGTTATACATTTATTCTAAATAGGGCTTCAACCTTCTATTCTGTATAAATCTTCCCAAACTGAGTGATGGGGTGGGGCTGAAAGGGGGGTCGTAGCTAGTAGGGATAATTCAATTAAATAAGCTATAATCTCAAAGGCGGTTTGACTGTAATTACATTAGTGCAGCTTACGTTGTATTTGTTAGTTATTTAAATATAGAATTCGGTTAAGGGGATATGCCCATAATAATATATACATAAAAACGTTTATAACTACAAGCTGTAGTTGTACTTGGCAGAAAATTGCACTGATTTTGGCTTTACTTCATGTACACCATCTTTGCCGAAATCAATTCTTACTGAAGGTATGTCTGTGTCATAAATTTGGGCACGGCGAAAATGTGGCCATATAATATCTGTAATATACCCAATAGCGCCATTTACTAATCCCTTCGACACGTCAATGTTCGATCGAAGCATGACCTTTGCTCCAACAAAAATCTCAAATCTTCTTGGTAGGCCACACGTTTTATTGATGTCTGTGGGAAACAGTAAATGTATGTCAACATTATCAATATTGGTGTTAATAGATCTAAAATACTGCAGCACTTTTTCATTGTGCGTGTTGACTTGCTCATTTGTAGGGTATATGCGCAAAGCTTTATCAATGAAAGCCTTTGTAATGTGTCGGCTTTCTGTTTTGATTCTATGATTTGGTATGTAATGAGCGTCATTAAAGTGGTTGAGCTATTGTTGCGATGACATGAGGGTAGCAGGTCACATTAACTACGTCTTTATGCCATTTCACGCTAATTTAAAGTTAGTATTTCAGAAACAAGATTGAATCCGAGAAGATTCGAAAGTTATATTAAATTATATTAAATATTAATGTGAAACGGAATTATAATAAAAACCTACAAACTTTATACTAAAATGTTTTCTGTGTGTTATAAATAATGAGCCGACCCGCGGCGTATCATACACCGCTATTCAGTTGTTTTATTTTCTACTTTTCAGTAATTCATAATTTGTGAATTCGACAGTACCAATGCTGCCACTGAAAATATTTGCTTTAAAAGACTAACCCTCCCCCCTTTCACCTAACCCCGACCCTACAACCCCCCCCCCCCCCCCGGTGAAAGCAGCCTCCTCTTAGTTACCTCCTGTAAGTTTAAAATCGTTTCAAACTAAATTATCTGCCCCTAATAGCCGTCACTAAACCCGGCTCTACTATTTGTAAACATTTAGAGTGACCACAGCTCACCAGATCATGTGGGGGTGGGGTGGGGTGGTAGTGATAGGGATAGAGGGAAAGAGAGGGGACTGCAAGGCGCGCTTGCAGCTTGTTTTCTAACGACTCCCAGAAGAGAATTATATATACGAGCCGACCCGCGGCGTATCATACGCCGCTATTTAGTTGTTTTTTCTACTTTTCAGTAATTCATAATTTGTGAATTCGACAGTACCAATGCTGCCTCTGAAAATATTTGCTTTAAAACACTAAACCCCCATCCCCCCCCCCCCCCCGTGAAAGCAGCCTCCTCTTAGTTACCTCCTCTAAGTTTAAAATAGTTTCAAACTGAATTATCTGCCCCTAATAGCCGTCACCAAACCCTGCTCTACGATTGTTTTGTAAACATTAAGCGTGAACTACAACTCACCTGACCATGTGAGGGGGGTGGGGGTGGGGGGGGTGGTAGCGAAAGAGAGGAAGAGAGGGGACTGCAAGGCACGCGCTTGCAGCTTGTTTTCTAACGGCTCCCAGAAGAGAATTATATATATAGATACTATATGTATACAACCCACGCATACATATCTAAAATGTTTACACTGCATTTAATCAATCTTAAATTTATTTGCATAATACATAAGATTATTAACAAATGCCACGCAAATACATATTTTTTCCTGTCACTTTTTCTATGACGTTTGTTTCTCTGAATTTGCTTTTCCTGTGTTTTTTTTTTCTGTGACTTTTTTTCCTACAATCCAACCCCTATTCCCGTGAAATACAGCGTAGTAACTCAGATTGCAGTTTGGTCCAGGTGTTATATTTTATTCCATGTGTCGGTACGACAGGATTTTAGAGTTCTAACAAATAATTGGTAAAATGACTAGCTGAAAAAACACAATTACCGCACTATAATTTTCTTATACTATAAAATGTGTAATGTAATGGAAATAAATTATCTAAAAACACTGTACATCAGTGAAAGTATTCGGGCTTAAGAGAAAAAGATAAGTTGCACTGGAATCATCTCTAGCCCTCTCACAAGCACTAAACTACAGAAAAACTAAATAGTTGTTGATTATTTGTTTTTTAAAAGAATACAATCTAGTTTATACTAAATATATTGGTTACAATGTCTTAACAAATGCAGTGAGCATGCGTTGGTGGGTTGGAAATGAAGTGGCTTAATCAAATGTTGTTGTATTAGGGGAGGTGAAGGGGATACTTTCTGGAGTTCCGCTGCTAAAAAAAGGAGAAAGGAAATCTAGCAGTGGATAATACTTGACACCTACCGACGTACAGTGGCCCCCACCCAACTGATCCTAAAATCAACACGCTTGAATATCGTTACAAATGGTTGGGGTTTGCCTAAGTCCCCCAAACCCCTTTCCCCAATGCCGCACTGGTTAGGTTTTAAGATTTCTATTGTTTATATCGAACTCAAACATGGTTTAATTGTGGGAAAAGAATGGAATGGGTAGGTAGAGGTGGGGTGGGAACGGGGGGAAGCTAGGATTGAAGTCGTGCTAGATAGGTTTGTCGAAATTGTATTTTTGCCTTTTAAAATTTTATGAGCTTCGTCCATTAAGGTGTTTGTTACAAGTAAAACTTTTGGTCAGAAAATATACTAACCGGGCTGCTGGAGCCCAATAGTTGATATTTGATTGACTGATCCAATACTTGTGTCATCACGTTCTTCTGCATCTGTTAGTTAAATAATGGTCAATTAAAAATGTAAACTTTAACTTAAATTTAGATTAAGCGGAATTTTTTTTTAATTTGTAACAAATTCAGTATCTATATTAAAACGATAACAAATCTAAATTGTTATATTTTTACATACTATCAACAGAAACAGCTGATTACAAGATATCAAAGTATTTAAGACTGGAATACAAAAGATATTATTTAGATAGGCCTACTTAATTTACCTTCAATATACACATTTCAATTATTATATTTTGCATTATAAATAGTTTCTGTCACAGACTGTATTATTGGGTATGTTTATTATATTGTGTTTTACATGAAACTGCATGAATGTAGAGTATCTGTCCAACGGAAGTACTGTCTGAGCGACTCGTCATGTATTTTTCCATGCTTTTGTGAGATCGCTCATTGACGTAAGGGGAGAGAAAGGAGTGTATAAAAGGTGTAGAGCAAGGTGAACGAAGGGTGCTTGCCTGTGTCTGTGTAGTAAGATGTAAGATGTCATCACGTCAATTTGTTTCTAGACTATAATACAACAGTCGTTTTTCCTATTATTGTCATTTTCTTGTGGATCTTGTAAATAAAGTTTAAAGTTACAAAAAAGCTGTCGATCGTGTTCTTGGATGAACGAACCCACAATAACGACCGTATTGTAATACCAACAAGAAATACGGGTTGTTACAGTTTCATTAAATAGTGAATGCAATTGCGAACCCGTAAGCAAAATTAAGAAACATAAAGAATTTGAGATACGAAATAATTTAAACACATTAATGTATGTATTAAAATTGTTGGTTATGGGATGTTCTTTGGTGGCAGCATTTCATTTTATGCCCAATCTCTTACCAAGTGGTGCGCCATCATTCATCACAGATGTTTGCTTTAAAACAAAATCTGAAAACGGAAAATGAATAAATGTAAATTAACGCAGCTAAGTATCTAGGTGGCTATTTATACGCCGCATAGAACCTTTATCAGCGGTAAAACTATCATACAGTCTAATAAAATGTAAAAGCACAAGTTTATTTATTAACAAAAGCGTCACTCGTGTCACAATAAAAAAAATATTACAGATGAGGGAGATAATCGCTTAAGTATTATCATATCTGACGTCGTAAAATTATTAATATCTTACCTTTCAGAAATGGGTGGTGTATCGCTTCCTTTGCAGTTGGTCGTTTGGAGGGATCTTTTTCGCAAGTTTGTTTTAAAAACATTTTAAGATTTACAGAGCTATCTTCGGGAATAGGTAATTCATGAGCATTTTGTAATGTTCTTGCGATAATAGCATTTCGAGAAAAATCTTTAAAAGGAATGTTCCCCGTGATCATTTGATAAACTGTGCATCCTAGACTCCTGTTGAAAATGGAGTGTCACATAATTTCATTTGCAGAAGCTAAAACACTGTCTTGTTATTTTATTGTATTTAAGTATATAAGCAAATGATGTTACCATATGTCAACTTTGTCATTGTATGCAACATTTTCATGAATTGCTTCGGGGGCCATAAAAAATATGGTCCCTTTTTGACTTGTACTTGTACTTGCACTTGAAATTGTGTTCAAAATCTTAGCTACTCCAAAGTCAGTTATCTTAATGGTGTTTTCATCTTGCATTAAAATATTGGAACCTATTTTTTTTAAAAAGCAAAGCTTAGTGATAAAGTGTAGAGATGCAATTTCCTATATTTAAAATCCGTTATTAAGAATTAGACGAAAATATTTTTTTCATAAACGCATTACTTAACATAGTATGAGAGAGGTATAAAAATAATATTATCGCTATTATTATTAATATTGCTAACGTGCCCGTTCCCGCGCGTTGGCGCGGGGTTAGAAAAAAGTCCGAGGATAGCCCGGAGCAAGTCGCACCCTGCCGGTTTGCGGGCTGATGCGCCTGATTCATATTAGTTAACGACTATAATACTACTTCTTATCCATATTCTGTCACACTTCTTAAGCTAACGTATGCTCCATACATATGCACTAACGTATGCACCATAGCTCAGCTCAAAAGTTAGAACTGGGCGCCAATTCGCAACCTACCGGGGCGTCGGCGAACGCGCCTGTTTCAGTTAAGTGAAAATCTATAATGCCCCATCGTATCTATAGTATATCGCACTATTTAATGCCAACCTGGTCGGCCTATTTAAGTCGGTAAAGCTCATGGTTGCTAAACCGAAAAGTCTCGAGTTCGAACCCTCGGTCAGATGAGCCTCGTTAGCTGGGGACAGCCACTCTTCTAGGAGAGACAACTCCAAAATCAAACAACTGCTGTCTTGTAGTTTGTTCTTGGCTGGACAAAGGCTATGGAAGCAAATCCAAAACGAAAAGCTGTCTGAAATCGGAGTCAATGGGTTCAATGGCGCATAACCAGTTGACACGTATCCTTAATTGTGATAGAAGCAAGGTCGAGTCGGCAAAGCTCATGGTTGATAAATTCGAAAAAAAAAATTCGAGTTCAAACCCTCTGGCAGATAAGGCTCGATCCCTCCCAACACTAAAAACTAAGAACGAAGAAGAAGAAGAAGTCGCCATAACGTTCACAGAAAGTCCGGGGACGACACAACGCACCCTGCCAGAGCGCCGGAAGACTCACCTTATTCAATTTAGTGAACGACTATAACGCACCATCTTATCCATAATCTATCTCACCTTTTAAGACGAACGTTGGCGCTTTAGCGCTCAAAGGAAAGCCTCGATGACAAATCGCATCATTTGAATTTTTTCCCCGCAGAAACCTTCTCGATAGTTTCCTAATCAACTCCAGAAAAGTTTCATAACACTAAGATGAACGGTGTTTCTTTATTGCCAATTACTTCCCTTGATTGATCACAAAAAATTATTACTTCCCTTAAAAAAAATTACATCGGGGAAAAAAATTGTTTTTATTCGTTTGTTTTGGTGTTCGAAAAAAATAATTGTGTAATTAGTATTGATTGATAAATTGAAATGTGGTATTTAAAACACGAATATTTTAAATACTGCCTTTTATATATTTTATATAATGAACGTAAGGTGTACTAATTATTATTTGTAATCAATAACAGTTAAGAAGCCGCTCCTAAATGTCCTTTGTGTTTACTTCTATCTTTCGTTTTTTTTTTGACAAGCAGGGGTATTAAAGTCGTTCTTTAACTTGAACCAGGCATGTCCACAGGCGTCACAGCATGGTTCAATTTGTCGCCCTGGGCTGTCATGTGAGATCTATGGTGCATAAGTTCGTTTTAAACAGTGCGATAGACTATGAATAAGAAAGATTACTATAGCGCGTAACTAAATCAAATCTAGTGCGTCCTCTGGTGCCCCAACAGAGTGCAATTTGTGTCTACGTTTGTGTTTATGTTTGAGTTTGCTTTATTGTTTGTGTATGTGTTTGCATTTGTGTTTGTTTTTGCGTTTATGTTTAAAGCTGTGTTTTGTGTTTGTGTTTTCTTTTATGTTTGGGTTTGCGTTCGTGTTTGTGTTTTCGTTTGCGTTTTTGTTGGTGTTTGCGTTATGTTTGCATTTTTGTATGTTTTGGTTTTGGTTGGTTGTGGTTAGGGTTAATTAAAAGTAAAAAGTGTCTTAAATCCGTGCAATGCCGGGTAAATGCTGCTTCATAAGCACACAAGTCATGTTCCTTTTACAAAGGCCAGTGCATGGCCTGTCCGGGACGGCTAGTAAACATTATAATTACTATAGCTATAATACCTGCCATACTATTAGGCTCCTCTAACAAAAATACATCTCCAAGGGATTAGAAAAGTAAAATGATAGTAAAGAGTTATTATTTTCTGACAAGGAAGAACTAAAATAGTAAACAATAAAATTCCAAATTTACCTTTAATGTCTCTATGTATTATTTTCTGCTCGTGAAGGTAAACAAGTCCTTCAAGTATCTGATAAGAGAACATAGCCGTCTTTTCTTCTGATAGCCTTTTTTTTCTCTGTGTCTTAATATGATTTGCCAAAGTATCCTGAAAATAAAATAGCAAATGGTTATTTCCGAACAAAAAAGCATATATTTCTTTTTGAAATTAAAAATAATACTACATTTTATTTCCTTAATAATAATACCTTTTCCATAAACTCCATAAAAAGCGAAAACATTATGTCTGTTCTGCTGAATCCATAATAGTTTACCACTCTTTTATGTTTTACTATCTTGAGAGCTCTAGTTTCTGCATCGAACATTTTCTGAAATATTATTTGCGTATTGTAAATATAACGACTTAAAATACATCAATTAAATGACGCTCTTTAACTAGCGTAAATTAATTGTCATAAGTCAATGGTAAAGTGGATTATAAGCATCATATGCATAATACGGGGTGATTTATATTTAACTAAATTTGCCAATAACTTAATGAAATAAGCTTTAACTCTTTATGGTGGCTTTTTTATCATTAGACAGGTCTGGTGTTATTGTTTCTTCTTTTTTGGCAAGAATAAAACTGGTTTTATCGTTATTTTTGTTTGATACTTTTTTATCCGAACTGTTTTCTTAACATAATTTTTTTCTCAATTTTTCTGCAATTGTTTTATTTCTTTTTTATGTACTGGTATAGGCTATTTACCCAAAAAGGCGTGGGATTTTCAACCAGAATTAAGTCCAACTTTTTACTTTCTCGTATATACAAAGTATAGAGAAAGTCTTGTAATCGTGCAAAAAAATAAACCGGGAGTGATCTCCCCTAAACTTTCTCGAATATCTAATATATAAAGCTCAATTCTGTATGTAAAAATAAATATGTTGGTCGTTGACATACTTCGATGGATTAAAGTGTTAGATAATTAAAGTCCTTACGGTCTAAATTTATGATTTAAAAAAATTAAGATTGAAAGTTTTGG